CCCTAACCCTAACCTAACCCTAACCCTAACCCTAACCCTAACCCTAACCCTAACCCTAAACCTAACCCTAACCCTAACCCTAACCCTAACCCTAACCCTAACCCTAACCCTAAAAAGTTTATCCTTATTAAAGAATATTTTTTTGATAATTTATATACTATTACAATCTTTTTCAGAAATATAAAAACTAATATTTTTGTAATTAATATTGTTTGATATAATATGAATATCAAGTATTTTGTTAGCTTATTCATTATAACAAAAAGGTAATTATATATTACTTTTATTATTAGATTCTTGGATTTTGGTAATAAATCTATGAAATTCTATAATATTGATTTCTATAGTGTAGATAGTATTTCGGTGGTATTCATCTGATTATAAAAAGTATAATAAGAAGTTTTATTTCTAATATAGGTATTATACTTAATGATTATTTTATTGATTATATTACAAAGTCCTAAACTCCAATATTGCCTTTTGATTCTTAAATATATTCTTTATATTCTTTAATATCTGTAAACTAGTAATACATATTGTTTTGTAATATATTTAAAAGCAATATTATTTAATAATCATATTTTATTCTTTATTTAAAGCAATCCTTCAACAATTACTAATAATTCTAACTATTTGATACCTTTCTTATTTTGTTATACTTTTACAAATTTATCTTTTCAGATTTTTATTAATTTATTTTCTATAATAACAATTTCTGTTAGGTTAAGGATAAAATCTTTATTTGATAAAGATTTCAAGATTGTTATTTCCTAATAGATTTTATTGTTTTCGTAATCTGATAATTTGTTTAAAATATCTGTTCTTATATTATCTTTTCCCTTGATATATTTGATTATCAGATTAAATTCTATTAGTTCCTTAATTCATTTAATTAATCTATAATTATCCAAGATCTTAGTAATAATAAAGATTCGAAGATTCATATAATTAATATAAATGATTATTAGGAATTTAATCTTTTAAAAATAGATTCTTTAATATTTCAATATTTTTATAATAATTATAAATTCTTTTTTATAAATATTATAATTCTGCTTTATTTTATTTATTTTGTTTAAATAATAAACGATAAAATATAATTTCTTATTATCATCTCTTTATAGATAGATTTTTATTATATAAATATCAAAGGTATCTATTTTGATAATGCTTTCTCGATTATCATAATAATTATAAAGAATAGATTCTTTTATAAATCTATTCTTGATTTTTTAAAAAACCTATTTTATCTTTTTATTTTATATAAAAGTTATTCCTTTTTTGGTTATTTTGGTAAAAGATTCTATCATTTTCGAAAAGTTTTTTATAAATATTCGATAGAAATTGACGAATTTTAATATAGATTATATATTCTTGATATTCCTAAATTGTTTTTAATTCTTTATTTTCTTTATTTTCTTAGAATTTATATTTATTTATTCTAATTGAATAATATATTCTAGGAATATTATCTTTTATATTCCAAACTTGTATTTCGATAATTTGAATCTTAAATCCATTTTTTTGAATACTTTTAATACCTTCAATATATATTCTTTATATTCCTTCTCTTTTTAAAAAAAGATTAGAATATTATCTAAATAATGGATTACAAATAAATTGAATTCCTTGAGTATTTTGTTGTTTTGTTATTAATAAATAATTGATGTATTGATTAAATCGAATGGTATAATTATATATTCTTATAAACCTAATAGTAATATAAAGGCTGTCTTTTATTTATAACTCTTTTTTATTTGTATCAAATTGAAAATATTTTTTTGATTTAATTTTGTATAGATCATTGTTTTATTCAATTTATCTCTGAATTTCTGGATTTTCAGTATTAAGTATATATTTTTGATTGTTTTATTATTAATCTGATAATAATCTTTATAAGATCGATTATCTAAATTGTTTTTTTTAAATACCAATAATATATTGGATATATAAAAGGATTTGGATTTTTTAATTTATTTTTTCTTTTCAGTTTTAATCCTATATTCTTTCTATATTTATATAATATTAGAATTATATAATCTCAATTTTTTAGTAGGAGATACAAATCCTTTTTTGAAGTTGATTTTATAATCCTAATGTTTATATTCTGATAAAACTTTTAAATCTTAAGGATCTTCAAAAAGCTTAATAAATCTTTTATATTACACTGGAATTTCTTTTTTATTGATTTTATCAATTAATAAAGGATTTGTTATTGTTATAATATAATATCTAATCTTTTGGGAAATTTATTCTTTTGAATTATATAGTTATTTGTTATTGCAATTGTAACAATCGAATATTAAAGTATCTTTTATTCAATTGATATTTGGATTATATTTCTTAATTTATAAAATATCAAGAACAATTATATATCTATCTAATAGTATTAAATCTATCTTGATTTGTTCGATATATCTATTTGATATAATTATTTTGATAATACTAGTTTCTTTATATACCCAATCATCAATTCCAGTTTTCTTTTCTTCTAACAATATCAATTGATAAGGATCCTGTTTTAATTCTATAAGAATTCTATTTTCTTTTATGAAATTGGGATTTATGAATATACTCATAGCTCTAAAATCAATTAAAATATTGATTTGTTGATTCTTTAATTTGATTTCTACAATTAGTTATTCAATTCTTGTAGTACTATTTAATTCTAACAATAATAATTCGATGATTTGTTTTTTGGTAAAGAGATTCAATTATTCATATTGATATTCATTTATATTCAATAATTGATAGAATATAATAAATAATAATTTTATTGATCCTGTTTGGAAGTTTCGATAATAATCTTAATTTAATACTTTTTCGTTATTTTTATCGATTCTTTATTAAATATAATGAATTTTGATTTATAATAGAATCTTCTATATATTTTTAATTTCCAGATTATATTCATTATATTTCTATATTTTATTGAAGGATAAAGAATTTATATTTATAATATACCTTCTAATATCATTTACCTCAATATTTTCTTTAAATATTATATAATAAATATTATTGTATATTATTATATAGAATATTAATAAAGTAGAATAATTATAGATTTTATATTTTTTAATAAAATCAAGTTTCTTTTTCTTATAATGATATTATATCTGTTTTTTATCTAGATAATTGATTAGATATTATAATTTATTTTTCTAAGATAGATAATAGAACTCAATTAATCATTAATCCTTTTCGAATTCCTTGATTGATTTCTTATCTTTTGATTCGAGGTTTTCTAAGAGTTCTTTTTTATAATTGATATTGTTTTCAGTATTGATTTTAAAGTTTTGGTTATTGATATTCAATTCTTTTAATTGTTCGAAATTAGATTGAGGTAAATCTTTTTTCAATAAATCTATTTCCTTCGAATTTTCTTTTAAGATCTTTATTTTTCGAGAACTTTGTTTTCTATTCTCAAATCTTATCTATTTCTTATTTTTTGTAATAAATAATTTCTTCTTTTGAAAATAATCTCAGGATATATATCTGTTTTTTCTATAAATAAAGTATAAATTATTCTCTTTATATCTTTTCTTTTTATTAGTATTTAGATTATTTGGTTTTATATAATATTATTTGATATTATCTAATTCTATTGAATTGTTAGTATTGTAATGTCTATTCTGATAATAAGATTTTTGAAACTTTTTACTTTCTTAAATAATTCCTTTCTTTTTTATTTATCGTTTATAGAATTGATTATTAATAAAAATAAAAGTTTCGATTAATTCGGAAAAATTAGATAATTTCGGAGCTTTTGTTAACTTATTCTTGATGATATTTTTCAATCCTTTATAAAATTATGATTTTAGATAATTATTATCTTAGATAATATATCTAGTATATTGTTGAAACTTGATAATATAAATTATGATTGATTTAATTTGTTTGAATTATTGTAATGTTCTTTTAGTTATATAATCAGAGTCTATTTCCCTGAATATTTTATCAAATCTTTATTTAAATGATTTATAGTTAAGGAAGAAATAATAAATCTTAGATTTCATACTTTTATTTAATTAATTATCGATAATCTTGATCATTAAATTATTAAAAAAGAGTTCAATCCAATTGAATATAGTTTTATAAAAAAAGAAGATCAATTACAAGATCCTTTGTATAAGAATCAAGAAAAGTTGTTTATTAAAAATATAATAAAAATTAATTTATATAATAAAAACTCGATGTTTGTTATAATCTTTATAAAATAGATCAAAAATAGATATCTGAATCGTTTGTTTATATTCTATAATAACAATAATTTGAATAGAGGCCCTGATTGAATTGAATGGAAACAATTCGATAAACTATTGATTAAAAGTTATTGTATTATATATAACTTAATTATAATGATACTTAAAGTATAATAATCTAATCGAGACAACAATTATCTCAAGTTTTTGTATAATTGATAATTATAGATTAAAATTAATAATCATTGATTATCTATTCAAAGATGAATATATTACTAAATCAATTGGAATATAAATAAACTAATTAATAATTAAATTGAATATAAAACTTCTAAACTATAAAATTATTCTGATTATATATTAATCCATTTTGAAAGTTTCCAGGAGTTTATACTTTTAAAAACTTCAAAGAGTTTATAGGAATCTATACTTCTAAAGATTTCATTATATGATTAGGATTAGATTATATATCTGAATTTGTTGAAGATAAAGAGATTATACGAAGTGATTGTTATACAAATTTATATACAAATTGTTTTACTTTTCAACAAGATCAAAGCTCATAGAGACAGGTTGACTGTTACCTCGTGACACTTTATAAAATGATTTCGTGATATTATATTCCAATTGATTTAATAACAAATTCATTTTTAAATGAATAATCAATAATTAATAACTTTAATCTACAACTATCAATTATATAAAACCTCAGACAACCACTGCCTCGACCAGATCATTATATAAAGTTGAATTAAATAAATTGAATGATTTTAATTAAGTTAAATTGAAAAAAGTTCTAAGTCAGATTTATCTGAGATTATAAAGCTTGTATCACGATTTATGATTAAGATAAAAATATATTGAGAGATAATAATTAACTTATCTCTATAAACTTAAATCTTATCGAAAAATAAAACGATTTATATATAAATTTATATAATAATCATTTTATATAATCTCCTTACCTTTAACAAATTCAAATATATAATCTGATTTTAATTATATAATAAAAAACTTTAAAAGCTTTAAAAGCTTTTAAAATTCCAAAAGCTTTTTGAAGTTTTAAAGTTTTATAAAGCTCCTTTACATTTATTAATATATAATCAAAATAGTTTTATAATTTAAAAACTTTATATTTAACTTAATTATCAATTAGTTTACTTATATTCCAATTGATCTAATAATGTATTCATTTTCAAATGAATAATCAATGATTATTAATTTTAATCTATAACTATCAACTATACAAAACCTGAGGCAGCCGTTGCTTCAACCAGATCGTTACAGCTTGTTTATATCAAGCTTTTTGTTAGATTTATTTACCGGGGTATTTTAGACCAATCAGATTGTTAAGAACGCGACTCACTTCTCGATTAATTTTATTATAATCTTAAACAAACCTTATTTTCTATAACTTATATCAAATAAACCTAGTATATAATAAGATTTTAATATCGACAAACTGATAATCAAATAAATCATTTTTTAAATTGAATAAATAATTTTTAATATTTATTTATTATATAAATTAAAAATTATAATTTCAACTTTTAATTTCTCAATTAATAAAATCGTGAAAAATCCAAATTTTTTAAAATCTATTAATAATTATATAATAAATATATAATTAAAGTTTCAATTGATTTTATTTATTAATTATTGAAATATTAATAACTGAATATCACAATTTTTAATATAAAAAATTGACTCAAATTAGAAGTGGCCCGAAAGTAGAGTACTGGACTTAAATATGTTACAAGGTTTGCCGTCTAGATCACATAGAAGTGCTCTAGACTCTCGAGGTGGTTTATAACTAGATATCAAGTAGAGATTTTAAATAATGACAATAATATAATACAATTTGTAACTAATAATATAATATACCAAATGATTGATCTTGAGCACGAAGCTTTATATAAAGGAAATCCATCTTGATTATATAGATCTTCGTATTATATATCCCACCGTTCCCCTCGATTTAAATCGGTGGAATGAGTGGTACCACGTGACCCCTTGTTTAGTCATGTGACGCGGTTTCTAGTCATAACTAAATACCGTTGTAACAAAATAGCACTTCATGAAATATATTTCTGCTTTCAAACAACTTTTCTAGCTTCAATATAATGAACCAAGACGAATAATTCTACCTTTCAACATCGCACAGTACATCAAGGAGGACAAAGGTGCCGCAAATCAGGTCATATTGGCGCTTAAATGGATTGACCAAGCTTCGTCTCTAGTGCTGGCAAGCTATCTGGGGGCTAGAATAGTGGCGGATCATCGAAGCTTGGCGTGATGACGATGTGGCTCTACCTGTAGTCATTTAAATAGTGTGCCAATTTAACCTTTTTGGACACTGCCACTCACATTTCCTCATCTAGTCTCCTAAGATCCTGATATTTCCTTCCAATTTCTGGGATGTGCGAGGAACTTGGCATTTATAGTAAGCCCATGTTGACCCAAATAAGAAAGCCAAGAGATACATAGTAAATAAACTTCAAATACCATCGACGACCATAAGTGTTGAGATTCCTTGGATTTCCGTATGTGGAATGGAAGCGTTGTTCGTTAACTTTTTGGTTTGGATGTGTGAAGAAGTTCCTACACATTCTCTTGACTGCCTCCTCCCTTTTGTGCTTGGCGGTAGAACTGTTCTTGATATTGCCAATCTCGGCCCCCTTTACTCCTTGGTAGGTAAAAATTTAGCGGATGACCACTATTTCTTGAGAAAAAGTCGGCGCGAGAGGAGATGTATAAGGAGAGGTGAAATTCTCGTCCAAATTGGATTTCCTCATCATCAATATCATAAAGACACTTCAATCATCGCTTTTAGCTTCATATCATACTGTAAAAATCATTGCAATCTTATCACTCTAGTACCACTCGAAAAAACAATTTCAACAAATCAATATGAAGTTTACACTTGCCGCCGCAACTGCAACATCCATTCTTTTCGCATCTACCGTTACCGCCTCTCCCACAGATGGATACGGAACATATGCATCCTACGGAAGTTACCAATGGGCTAATGGGGCTCCTGTGAACGGTGATCAGGTTTCCAATAACAATCCAAAAACCACGGATAAGCCAGCGGATATGCCCGTCCCACCACCTGCTCAGAAAGGCGGATCTCCCTTTGTATTTACCAGCACATACAATGTAGTTGCTCTAGGATCTGAAGTCAGAAATGGCACCGTATCAGTTCCGGGTCCTTCCAACGCTATCGGATATTTCAACTATGGTATCAATGCTCATGAAGACACCATCTGCTATGTAAGTACTTTTTGAGATACCACACCGTTAATCATTTCCTAATAACACTACTAGAATATCACTCTCATCAATGTTCCTGGAACTTATCAATCCCTAGCCAGAACGGCCACTCACATTCATGAAGCAGCCCGGGGTACATCTGGTCCTCCTCGTCTTGCTTTTCCAAACCCAATTGGATATGATTCTCGTCGCATAAGTGTTGGTTGTATGACTGGTCCATTCACAACTGGTCTTAATGGTGCAGATGGAAAGGATACTGGCACAGGTTTTAAGGTTTCTCGAATTGAAGCTAACCCAGCTGGATTCTTCGCTGATGTTCACACAAACTTGTTCCCCTTGGGTGTTGTTAGAGGCCAATTGGCATAGACGTGTATATAGAAGAGAACACCTTCGTTTTAAAACATGAATACTTTGGTTCAGTGAATAGATAGTCGGGTATAATGTTCCAAAGAATTATTATATATAATTTTTCTATCATTATAAGTTTAATACCTCACTTTCGGACCACCTTTAATTCGGACTACTTTTTTATATCAAAAATCATTATTTTTATCTATTAATAACTTTTTCATTTTTTTGATATAATTCCTTCAGATTTTAATTACAAATTAATTATTTGAATAATAGTAGATTCTAGAAACTTTAGATTTTTTTTTGTTTTATTTTTTTTTTTTTGATTAAGATACCAGAGGCCTGCGCCCCCTGGACCCATGGCTTTTCAAGAAAGTCTAGTAAAAATTTAAGTTTTAAAAAGTTTATAATAAATTTAAAGAGTGCAGATAGAATATCGGCTTGTTTTGATAATTGAAAGTTAAATATTATTATTATTATACTGAATTGAATAAATAAAGTTGAATTGAATTAAATAAATAAAGTGTAATGATTTTAATAAAGTTGAATTGAATAATTTTAAAGTTGAATGATTTTAATAAAATTGAATGATTTCAATTGAGTTAAGTTGAAAAAAACTTCAAGTTAGATTTGTTTGAAGTTGTAAGGTTTGTTTTGTTAAGCTTTTTGTTAGATTTTTTACCGGGGTATTTACCGGGGTATTTACCGGGGTATTTTAGACCAATCAGATTATCAAAATCGCGATTCATTTAAACAAATTTCTCATTTTCCATCACTCATCGAGTAAACCTCATATATAACAAGATTATAATATCAACAAATCAATAATAAAACAATAATTAAGTATTTTTTTTAAATAAATTAATTCATTTGATTAATTATAATCCAAATATTTTAAAAAAATTTATTGAAAAGTTATTTAAGATTTTCAAGATTTTCATATTTATATATTTATATATATATTTTATACAAATTGAAAATTATAATATCAATCTTCAATATCTCAATTAATAAAATTGTAAGAAATTTAAAATCTTTATAATTTATTTATAAAGTTATTAATAAATGAAAATCACAAATTTTGATTTAAAAAAGTAACCGGAATTAAAAATATCAGAAAGTAAAATGTTAAATTTAAAACAAATAATAATTAAATATAATCAATATGAAAGAACAATTTAAACTCAAAGATTTCCGAGTGAAAATATCTGGTCGTTTGAATAAAACATTTCTTAATAAAGTTATTGAACGATTAAGATTTGATTTTTAATACAAACTTCAATTGACCTTATAATATAAATAAAATATTATCTATATCAGTTCAAGTATATAAATCCTTGAAAGAAAGATATGTATAAGTAATAAAGTTAAAGTATTTAATTGTAATTATTACTATACTTAATCCACTAATTTTTGTCCTTTCAACTATCACTTTTTGAATTTTAAAATCTTGGCTATACAATTTATTATCCGATGTAGAAATGATGAGGTCTTCCAAACTTCACAGTGATTCCATCAAAAAATTGTTAATTTATCGTGGAACATCATCAATCAAGAGGTTCGCTTCCGATATGTTGATGAAGATGTAAAGGCTTCTGACACGCTCGATCACTGATACAGCAGGCCATGGACCGGGTTGGGTTGAAAAATTTGTACTTTTTTATGTCTCGGCAGACTTATTATTGTTGCGGAAACTATAGAGGTTTTTGAGCGTAAACTAGATAATATGGGTAGTATGAGTGAATTCTGCGATCTCGTGCTGCAGCGCGAACTTGAGCACTAGGTATACGTCAGTTTTCCTAAACTCAAGTCGCAGCTGTGGAAGGGAAATAACAACTTACCAGAACAGTTGGACCTCAGGTAAAGTCATCTATTCAATCCGTCAGTTTCATATCTCTGTCGACGGCCTCTCCAGTTTAGCAATTTTCATGTAGTGGGGAGCGACTTACCCCCATTTCATTTGTGAGAAGTTGAACGGCAAAACCTTCTAATCCCACATCAAATTGTAACAGGTTCCACTTTCCTAATTCTCGTAACTTCGGATCGTTCGACCATTCTCCCAAAGGCATTTTATATCTTTTCTCATGTAAATTAATGAATCCAGCTTGTCTGATTTTTGAACTCATTGTTGGGCATATATCCATTGATTGTCCTGTACGTTCTCCAGCATTGTTGAAAAGCTACATCAGGAGCATCTGAAGTCAATGGATGTTCAACGAAACTAGAAAGGGAAGTATTCGGGATGAAACTTTCAAGTACATACATCAGCAAACCTATATAATGGACTATCCGGTGGTACAGTGTTGTCATCGGATTTGACATGTAATGATGGCTCTATATGTTGTATGAATCCTCCTGGCTTAAGGTGTCTAGAATTCATTAGACTGTTACTATTTACCTTCCTATATCTGCAGAGGGACTTACTTAAAGGCTTGTGCGTAGAGTCTGTCCCAATCGGGAATACTACCAAAAAGTCCACGTATGTGAATAAAATCAAAGTAATTTTTCGGGTAAGTCCATTCTTCTGTAACATCATCTATCTCGAATCTTATGAGGGGCTGGTCAGTCATCGCAGAAGTGCTGTTGTTGCATTAGTCGAGATTTTACCTGCAATTTGGTGGTACCACTAACGTGGTTAAAGTTAGCATATGTGTAAGGAGGAGTAAAAACCTGCGAGATGCGAAGTCGTACAAATAAGACGAATATCTTCATGGCAGAAGATGCTTGGAACTTAGTCTTGAGCTTAAGTGAGGGGATTACTGAAAAGTAAGAATTAAAATTGGCTACTTACTGTCTGGTTGGATTGGTGATAAGTCTGTCCCAAGAACCGATGCATTTGGGAAAAGGTCAGCAAAGTCAATTGCCCATATTCCCGTGCCTGTTCCGAGATCTAAAACTCGCTTTCTATCATGTTAGTTATTTTTGAAACACTCATCGGATTAGCTTGGTGTTATTTTACCTCGACATTATCCGGTATTGGTGCCAGATACAAGGCGCCATCCAACATCGATAGATATCGTCGGTGACTTGAATATTGTCAACAACCTTCGTCTCTGTACACTGAGGGAATACCATCGAGTTACCTGATGTCTATTTGCTCATTTTGCAATTCATCATTGGGTTGCCTATTTAGATCAGATCTCATATTCCATTGGAGCGGAACAATCAAACAGGCAGAAGACATGACAAGTAGTCACTTACCAATAAGCCCCTTCTCTATATGCCTGATACCTTCTACCATTTTCAACCCTAAAAGCCATGGCACTCGAATCTATCGAATAAGTATCACCTGCTCTATCATTTTCCGGTGTTAACTGCCATTCGTCTGTAACCCCTTCTACTATTATTGGCTTCAACAATTTCTTAGAAATGTGGTAGCTTACAGATCATCCTCTTCGGAAGAATAGCTACGGGCAGTGACGACGGCTTCCTAAAAATGAGAATTATCAGTAATTCCATAAGAACATGTATGGATCGTCATCCAAAAAGGAATACATGTCGAAATATTTGTACCTCTTCTTTCGTGACATCGTTTTCTAATGTAGCCATAATTTTTGTCGACTGCTAAACATTCGAAGATAATATGTATGTAAAAAAAAATGTGACAGTTCACGACGATAATATGTAGCACTGTAAAACTTTTGCAACACACACAAGTCGAGGAAGATCAATTCAGCGTAAGGCAAATCCGATGAGAATGGGGAAAATGTCAAAATCCCAAGAGACGAATTCCCGGGTCCTGCGCCATGTCTTAAAATCTCACTGACCAGGGGATGGCAATATTTGGGTTCGGGTAAGGCTTTCTGTGGGAAAACTAAAATGTGTGATGCGGGCCTGAAAATGAACTCGGATTAATGCGTTGGCATAAGTTCAAGCCTAGAATAACTAAAAATACATGGCATTCCAATGATAAAATGGGAGAATGAATCCGTGTCTAAAATGAACGAAAGATGGGGGATTAGTTTTTGAAATCAGGGATTATTTCTTTGGGATGAAGGAGGGGTTCATAGTTATCCCAGTCATTTCATGCATTGACCCGTTAAAGTACAAAAAGCCGGCCTTCCCGGTTTACTGGGTCGGCCGTCTCCAGAGGCGTGGGTTCATGACAAGTTGCAACTAATGAAGAAGTATGGATTACGTATGATCAATAACGGAATTGCGTCCCAAGTTGAGAGGGAATACTACATATTCGCTAGTACATACATCGACATACATCATCGACCGACATACATCGAACTCGCTGTCTCTTTTTCTGCACCTCATACATGGTTCTGAGGACACACTCCACTGAAAGTTGCGGAAAAAGCAAAGATTTCCCTTGAAAACGAATTAATTCGTTCGATTGCATAGTAGTGCACCAAGAGATTTGTCAACTTTATAGCTCCAATGCGCATCTGCCGCCTCGTAATTTCTGCACCAAGCCGAGGCGGTGGGGAAAGAGAAAGACATACACAGAGTATCTCTGGGAGGATTAGAGGAATCGTCTCTAAATTCCCCAAAATTATTGTAAGATGACCAAGTATGCAACGCATTCCGATTACCAGTACCAGTACCCCGTTCACCGGCCTGCGGGAAATCTAAACTTTAACCATATTGTCGGAAATTGTTAAGACTTGGCTGAGCGGGACTCCTTCATGGTCCGAGACATGATCGGAGATAAATCTTCAAGTCCAGTTTGACATGAAAAAATTTCAATCCAAAGTAATAAACCAGCGTCCCACGTATCCCTAGGTGGGTGAATTCCATGAATCACTTTCAATTATAGTTTGGACTTTCCTCTCAATTGAGAGTCCATAGGTTGACCGGCAACTTGGCTCAGCGTAGGCCTGCATACTTCCCCCTGTACATTCTTACAGCCCCGTCTTATTCGTGCATAACAGTATGCATCGGATACCAAGATCATACTCTGCACCAATATTCATCAGATGTTGTACTAGAGTAGTTCCGACAAGTGCTGACAATTTCGAAATCCCCTCACGTCCCGAAGGATTCTAAAGCTCGTCTTGCAAGGCATTTCTCGAATTGACTTGGACTTTCGGTTAGGTCTGTTGTATCAATACAAGAGCTTGGAATATTTGATAACCAATTGTATGGGGCAAAGCATCATTCAAGAACGGCGACCGGAGGAACTTTTATGTATGAATTTTAGATGAGCCAGTAGGCTGTAATGTTTTGGGAGTGGGGGACCATTCATCAAACGTCCATGCAAGCCCTACCTTTGCATAACTCAAATACTACTAAACAGCAATGGTAACTAGGGCTGGCCGTCGCCATCTTGGAGTGGTCTGATCTGTCAATTACCTTGAACAAATGTACCATTGGCATCTGCATCATCGTCCATTGGAACACTCAGCACTGAATGGCAGATGAATATATCAAACCGCCCCATAGCAACGTTACATGCCATTTGACACTAATTCACGCAAGCACTTAGGTCTTACAAATGCCTGCCTATTGCGGTGAGTCGTACGGGTAAATGATACCATGGATTTGGATGAAGCCCGTCACATCACACCACCATCCACCTCATGTTTTAGCTGGTCAATATTCTCATCCTAGGAGATCGGACTTGCTCCAAGTCTATTCATAGTCAAGAATGAGTTGGTTCATGTCTTGGTTAGAAATTTCACTAATCTCTAATATTACTACACTGCGGAAGTCTGCACGCTCATTTACAATAGTGCACTCAATGCTAATAAAATTCTCAAGCCATTAGCCAATCAAGTGTACCCACATAGAAATCAGAGCGGAAGCTATAGGCCCGGGGTCAAATATACTGAGGGTTCACAATAGCCAGGGAGTCTCGCGCGGACGTTAACCCCTTCGAAACTAGGCAAGTGGCAAGTATGGCCACAGTGGATTGTCGTATATCTACGAATCAACCCCCATTACTCTCCACTTATTTTGCAGACACTGCGGTAAACATTAATGAATCTCATTTGCTCAAAGTGTAATGTCTGCCTTTCTTCATCCCGATTGCGGCCCAGTATTTCCTATAGGGTAATGTGTGTTGCTCTTTTCCAAGCATCACTCCACACAATAGCAACAAAATCTCAAGATCAAGGCAATAAGACAAATGTTTGTCTTACTAACCATTCACTGCCAGACATCCTAGCCTAGGACCTATCATCATGCTAGCTATCAAGCAACCTCTTACAAAAGGCCATTCAAAAGATAGACAGGCATCAATTATTCAACCTTCCCAGATTCCTGTAATTAAACAAGCCGCACGCTACCTCTATCTCTCCGTAGTTCCAATGTAGACAAAGCGACTTCACACAACAGTTCAAGACGCGACCATATCTATTCTTCTGAGAGCTTAAAGCGTTGACTTCGAGCGGTGAGAGGCCTTGTGGGTTCCTTGAGCGGCAGGCTTTGAGACATGAACTCGGATGGAAATTAAACATCCAGAACAATACATGAAAACAAAAAAGGTCTTAAAGAAACATTTTCTCAGTGTAAAGCATCTTGGACAGTCAAGAACTTTTGTTCCAAAGGTACAGCTTCGGAAGAACATTTAGAACTTCATTCCAATCATCTTGATCAACTTAGACCGGTCCAGAACAATTTTGCTTCATCATGATCAATAAAGTATACGTAATAGCATAGCTTGTGACGCCTCACGAACTCGCAGTGGGATCAATATGCCAGTTTCAAGAACCAGCAGCACAACTTCCTCCACAGATCGTCGGGTCATCTTACATATCTACCCGCTGTATTACTGTCAGAAGACCCAACGAAATGTATGCCTCGATAATAGCAAGTAATGACACGCGAGGTAGCTCGACCAGGGAAGTGTACGATAGGTCGCCGTGAATGTTGCCAATCTCAATCAAGAAATAAGCACTGCTATAATCTTATCATCCGTCTCGAGGTGTTCATCTATCACAATTGTCTATAGTGTTCCCAATCTTAGGCTTTGTGGCCTGGATGGCTCGCTGCCTTCACCTTCAATCCTCCGATATTAGTCTGGTAAATTGAAACTTAGCACACTTCAATGACATGACTTATCTTTTTGTATTTATTGTACACACCAAACAAGAACAGATGTTTATAAGGCTATCGCGCTGATTGCATCTATTCCACAGCGAATACGAAAACCATATTTCGTAACGGAAGACCGAGTATCTTTTGGCTACTTTTCGACGGAAGTGGATACCTTTAATTACCTAATTCAGTAGCCGAGTGTTTTTAACTTTTTATACAGTACTCATATGGAGTAAGGGATTTTTGTTTCATATTACTTGATCCTATAGGAGATCGATGAAGATTCCGCCAGCTTCTATTTTCAAGTAGTCGAATTCACAGGTACATTCCGCGGCTAGTTATCAAGAGTTCTGATTTATGGACACTATTTAAAGGGATGAAGTACGCATGTAGTATGGGAAGCCTGATGTAAGGTCCAATGAGGAAATAGATATATCACTACGCATTTCCTGCTGCGTCACTATGGTTTGGGATGTGCGATAAGATCCGTCCTCGGTATTTTCAAATACTGTATAGCTACCTGCATTGGTAAAAGAGCAGATACTGACTTCATGGACTGAGCATGAGAACATCCATAGTTTCTGGATATTAAAGGCACATGAACATTGTTAGCATATAAAAGCATAATAAACATACTCCCTCCTTGCTATCTGCCACTTCTCCATACCGGCTGTAGACTTTCTCATCGCCCCATATCCATACCAAGCAAAGCAAAATAGACTATGATGCACGTTGTTAGCACGCTGGTATCTTCATCCACAAAGTTGCAATGTATAATGGTATTGAGTGTTACGACAGCTACCATCAAGCACTGTATCATATAATTAACTTAGAATAATATAACCTTAAATTATATTACAAACCACTAAAAAACACTAGTAGTTTAGGAATATATTTATCACGATTCACGGATTAGATTATAGTAGTATTATTGATATCGATGATTTACATGCCGATTATAAAGGGGGTGTGATTTAATCGTTGCTTTCAAAGAGGCCTAATCATCTACAAATAGGACCCCAGGATTTTTAGGATAAGTATCTTAGACAATTATATTAGAATAGAATAAATATCCTAAAACTATAATTCCTAAAGAAAAGCTTCTAGAACAAGTATTCCAGAAAAGGAAAAGCCTCAGGATCAATCACATAATAAGGAGCTCTAGAAGCTTTTTGAAGCTCTTGAACTCTACAAAGCTTCTTTCCATTCATTAGTATATAATCAGAATAATTTCATAATTTAAAAGCTTCGTGTTCAACTTAATTATCAATTAGTTTATTTATATTCCAATTGATCTAATAACGAATTCATTTTCAAATAAATAATCAATGATTAATAACCTTAACTTATAATTATCAATTATACAAAACCTCAGGCAGTTGTAACGATCTGGTAGAGGCAGCGGCTGCCTCAGGTTTCGTCTGATTAGTAATTGTAGGTTAAAACTAATAATCACTAGTTATCCATTCAAAGATGAATATATTACTAAATCAATTGGAATATAAATAAACTAATTGATAACTAAATTAAATACAAAACTCTTAAATTATAAAATTATTCTGATTATATATTAATGAATATAAAAAAACTTTATAAAACTTTAAAACTTCAAAAAGCTTTTAAAACTTTAAAAGCTTTCGAAACTCCTAAAGCTTTTTATTATATGATTAGGATCAGACTATTGTCACGATTCACGGTTTTCTTTATAGTAGTATTATTGACGTCGATGATTTATAGGCCGATTATAAAAAGGGTATGATTTAAT